CTCTGGCCCCGCGGCGCGGGCTGCGGGCTCCGCCGCGCCTCCGCCGGGGACTCGCGCCCTCTCACCCGGCTTGGGTCTCCCGGCAACGGGGTGGCGGCCCCTCTACCGCCTTCTCCTCGCCTCTGCGGCGGCGGGCCCGGGGCGGCGGGGCTCCGGAGCCTCGGGCCGCAGTTCTCGCAGAGGGACCCCGGCCCCGCTTGGGCCCCAGGCCCCGCGGACGTGGCCGTAGGTGCCGCCGAGGTGTGGAAGGCGCCCCCGGGGCGGGACTTGGCCGGGCCCGGGCCCTGAGCGGTGCCTTCTCCCGGCCGTGGGAGCGCACACTCCGTTTCGGGTTCTTTCTGCCCGTGGGAAAGATCGCGTTTACCGGTGCAAAAATAAAGTTGCTGTTGTCATGTTCACGTTAAGACAACACAGGGGCATCCAAGTTTGTACTGACCCTCAAGAAGTTGGGAATACGATAATAACAACTGAACTAATTGTGCATGAGGATTTCTGTGAGTAAAGGCTTTGTTAGTTCAGTCCCTTCTGAGACATTGTTGAGAGTCCTTAATTGATTCTTCTCTGCCTTGATGCTGCTTCATAAAGACTTATACACACTCCTAAAGCACAGGGAATGTCAGCTCCATAGTCCTCTGCTTTCATTGCTTGCCAAAGTTGTAATCAGTAGTTAAGCTATAATCGTGACACTTTCTTCTTGACAGCTGCAGTATCTTTGGTGGTATAGAGGATTCTGGATGCATTTAATTACCATGAAATGTTTCAAGTCGTCTGCCTAAAAATCTCAGTCATAGTCTCTGTGGACCTTAAATATTTTACTAGTATGCTTAATTTTTTGGTACCAATCTCCTTTTTTGTTATCTCATTCCTCTGCCCTCTACCGTTGATAGTGCTGTGTGATGTTCTTCTGAAGTCCTTTGCTTACCTTCTCTTTGCTATCTTTCTAATAAAGCCTATTTTCTTTGAGCTCGTATTCTGTACAGCTTTGTTCTTTTCTGTTTCACTGTGTTCATAGGGTGGTTTGGGTTGAAAGGGACCTTGAAGATCATCTCATTCTAACTCCCTGCCTGCTATGGCCAGGAACACCTTTCACTAGATTGCTTAAAGCTCCACCCAGCCTGGCCTTGAACACTTCCAGGTATCCACAGCCTCTCTGTACAACCAGTTGCCAATCCTCACAACCCTCATAGGGAAGAATTTTTACTTTATATCTCATCTAAACCTACTGCCTCTATTTAAGGCCATTCCCCCTTGTCCTGTCACTACATGCTGTTGTGAAAAGTCCCTCTTTAGGATTCTTGTAACTTCATTTAGGTACTGGAAGGCACTATACGTTCTCTCTGGAGCCTTCTGTTCTCCAGGCTGAACAAACCCAACTCTCTCAGCCTTTCCTGACAGGAGAGGTACTCCAGCCCTCTGATCATCTTGGTGTTCCTCCTCTGGACTTAATCCAACAGGTTCAAGTTCTTCTTATGTTGGGCCCAGATGTGGGCACTCCACACACCCTCCACCTGTGTGTACTCCAGGTGGGATCTCACCAGAGGAAAACAGAGGGACAGAGTCCCCTCTCATCCTGCTGCCCACGCTGCTTTGGATGCAGCCCAGAGTGCAGTTGGCTTTCTAGGCTGCAAGTGCAATCCCCTCTCATCCTGCTGGCCACGCTGCTTTGGATGCAGCCCAGAGTGCAGTTGGCTTTCTAGGCTGCAAGTGCACATTGCCAGGTCATGTCAAGCTTCTCATGCACCAACACGCCCAAGTCCTCCTCGAGGTTGCTCTAAATCCGTTCTCTGCCCAGCCTGTATTTGTGCTTGGGATTGGCCCAACCTAGCTGCAGGAGCTTGCACTTGGCCTTGCTGAACTTCCTGAGGCCCACAGGCCCACCTCTCAAGCCTGTCAAGGTGCCTCTGGATGGCCTCCTTTCTCTCCTTATTGAGGAGGAGTTTCTTCATGGAAAGATTTAAACATTGGAATGAACTGCCCATGGAGGTGGTAGAGCCACCATCCCTGGAGGTGTTCAGCTGGACGTGGCACTTGGTGCTGTGGTCTGGTTGACAACGTGGTGATCAGTAAAAGTTGGACTCACTGATCCTGGAGGTCTTTTCCAGCCTGAATGATTCTGTGATTTTGTGACCATACCTGGCTTGCTTTCATTGGCAGACTTGCTGCAGGTGCACTCCGCCCCACTGTCCATTTCACCAATTGTTGCTTGATTATTTCAGTCAGCTTTTACAACTGAATCCATGTTGTCTTCTGTTAAGGAGGTCTCTTCCAAGGAGCTAGATTCAACAACTAAAATGTACTCAGAAAAAGGTTTCTTATCGTTTAGTTATGGTCTTACTATGCATGTGCACCATCTGTTGTGACCTTTATCCTGGTTCATAAGTAGGATTGGTTTCATAACAAAAGCATATCATTGTGCAAGCACAGTAAAAACCTGATCCTTGCCCCAGAGAATATTCAACATTAATGTAAATGAAATGACAATATGAATACAGAAAAGGAACTCGGACACTTGCTGAATGTTGACATGATTGTCACAGCATGTTACTAGTCTGATTATTCTTTCTTAGCTGCCAACTTATGCCAAGTTTTTCTTTAGATGATAAACTCTGCAATGCAGTTGCTTCAACTTCAGTAGTACCAAAGCACATAACCATACAGCTTTATATAAAACTCCTCATATGGCTAAAGATGTTACCAGCAGTGAGGGGTCAAAGAATCCAAGAGCAGCCTGGAATAAATTTTCAGAGCTGCTTCATGGTGTTTAAAAAAAAAAAGATAAAAAAAGTATGAAGCAAGTGGAAGGCTGGAGTCCATCAAGACTCAGCACTCAGTGCTAGCTTGGATTTTCCCACATTTGTGTTTCACTTCTAGTAATGTCGTTTGTATGGGCAGTACACAGGAGGAAGCAGGTCATCAGAAACACTGCCTGGCCATGGAGAGATGGTATTAGGAAAGCCAAAGTTCTACTGAGGTTGAGCTGTGCAGCATGTATCTTGAGAAAGAAATGCTTCTGCTGCAAAATTAGTAGCAAAAATGTAAATAAGAAAAAAGGTTGGATCTTTGCTAAATGAAGCTGGTCATTTTATGATGATAGACACAGATAGGGTTGAGGTAACAGTGCTGCCTTTGCCTCATTCTGCACCTACAAATGCTTCCAGGCCTTAGTGTCACTTTGGAGTCAATAATTGAGTGAATCCTATTGGAAAATACTTCTGATCACATGAGGGAAAATGCATGCATGAATTTCTGTATGGTAAATCATGCCTGATCAGCCTAATTTCCTTCAGTGATAAAATGACTGGGTTTGTAGGCAACAGGACAGGAGTGTTTAATTTACCTTGACTTCAGCAAAACTTTTGACAGCATGGTGTTATATCCAAGGTAGGACGTCATGGACTAGATGGATGAGCAACTAACTGAAAAAACTGGTTGTATAGTCAGGCTCAGTGGGTTTGTAATTAATCAGACATCATTACCTAGAGGCTGGTAACAACTAGAGCACTGCATGAGTGTATTCTCTGACCTCTCCTGTTGGTCTGTCAATCACCTGGAGGGCGTGTCAGAGTGTACTCTAATTAAGTGTGCAGGTGACAGCAAATTGGGGGAGTCTCTTCTGCTTGAGGGTAGAGCTGCCATTTGGAGGCACCTAGATGGGCAAGTAATGGGCTAGCAGAGCTCTTACCAAATTTAATGATGACAAATTCCTCCACTTCTAAAGGAAGAACCCCTTGCAGGTACAGGCAGCAGTGTGGGGGGTTGCCAGACTGGAGAGCAGCTCTGTCAAAAAGACCTGCAGGGGTTCCCAGTAGACCATCAGCTGGAGGGAGTCAGCAGAGACTACCAAGGTGGTCAGAGGCTCTGGTGAGGCTGTAGCACTAAGGCTTGTTCTGCCTGCAGTTTTCTCCAGGTGGCTTCTGGAAGGAGCCTACAGCAGCTCCCCAGTACCTGTGGGCAGCACTGAGAAGATGGAAGCAGGCCCCTTTGTAGTGGCATATGGCAGTAGGGTGAAGCACAACAGGCATAAATTGCATAACATAAACAAGCTGTTCAAACTGGATGTGAGGAACAGCTCTTTCTCCACAAGGACAGTCCGTACCGCAGGTTGCACAGTGTGGTTGTGGCATCTCCATCCGTGGAGAACTGACTAGATAAAGCACTGAGCAGCCTGGCCTAGCCTCAGAGCTGAGCCTCCTTAGGCAGGAGGTTGGATTGGAGATCTTCCAAGGTCCTCTCCAGCCTGAGATGTCTTGTAATACTGTAGATCCCAGGAATTGCACTGTGCATTCAGCCAGAGTCAGAAGTTAAGTGTTTCTACTGCTCTCCATTTATGAGCTAAGTGGTATCTATCACTCTAATTTCTGCAAGTTTTTCCTCTTTGCAAAACTCTGTGATGATTTTGTTAGGAGTTTTAAGAGTATCAGCACTATAGCACAAATAGTTTTTTGCTGCTAGTCAAAGATAGGAGAGCAGTGCATACTGTGTGGTTTAATCAGATCAATGAGGAAGGATTCATTACATAATAGATTTATAAATTAGAGGTAGGTAAAACAATCTGCTTTGGTTTGTGGAATGGAAAGTTAAATTAAAGTTCATTCATCTTTCAGAGAGTTTTCCTGCTACAAACTAAGGGTATTTTTTATCCCTTAAACCAGCAGTTTCTTCATATGAGTTCTCAAAATCTTTCAAACTGTGCATTGATTTTAGTCAGGCATAAAGGTATTTTTTGTTTGGCGTGTACGATGTTGTTTCTGTGGGGTAGGAAAACCAGATTGGGTAATAAAGCAAACCAGTTCCCACTGGACAGAATGTACCTTCAGGAAGATACTGGAATTATTTTTAAGGCAAAACTTATTAGAATATAGCCTGTATATAAGGAGAATTAATGTTTTAGAACTTGCT